AAAAAGTACGACGCCAAAATTGTGTACCGCCCTATGACTGGAAAATCTTATAGCTTTATTTTTACATTTTTTTAAGGGGGGCTTAGATGTAACTACAACCTAGCTTCTTAGTTCCCCCCTCCCCCTATTTTTTGCTAAACGGTTGCCCCCCACATGTCTCAAAGACAGCAGTTGTACTTCTGTGGTTCATGACTTGACAGTGATTTACTTTTTCGCGTGTTAAGTTATGTTCCGTTAAGATCTATATCTCCTTCTAATTGAGCAACACAAAAAACCTGCAAGCCTTCTCTCAATACTCTATCTGTCCCACAGTTAGCCAGCAGTCAACAGTGGCTTTCCACCATATCTGTACTAGCTGTCAGTAACACACACGCCACGCTACAATGGCTTACTCATAAGTCAAGTAGTGTATCTTTTGTCTCCTCTTTTCTACATACGTCTGTAATGTGTCTGTGAAGTCTTGACCTGTATCTAGCTTTTATGTGCTATTTTCTGATTGCATATAGCCAACATAGCCGGCCTGGTTGAATTACCCCCGTTTTTTTAGAAACTGGGCTAATCAGAAAACAGCCGAACCCCCAGTTCTATAAGCCTGCTACGGAGGCTATCTTTATTAAATCTCGCTAAGTAGTACCTAAAACGTTCCACTAGTGGGTAACAAGTGTTAGATGAAGTAGTCACTTCACTATAACCAAACAAAAGCCCTCTGTCTCTCCTCCAAAGTGAACAGTAATCAATTTTACTAATTATGAACCCAAGTCGGGGTCGTTCCCTCTAATTGCCTCAAATTAATTTGAAGGGTGGTAGTTTAAAGCCCTTGGCTTATCTCGCTAGAGAAGGGAGGTATTGTGTGCAGGCTGTACACCTGTCTACTCCGGAACTATATCAACACTCACGTCTTTCAAACCCTGACTAGATTGGACCGAGTTAACAATGGAGTTGACTGGTGAGAGGGGGAGAAGAGGGCCTGTGTAAAACTGTTGTTGAGGAAACATATATAAACAGTGGCGACACTGTTTTTATGTGAGAGGAAAAGTTGGTGCTACAACTTGTGGAGGCATCTTTGTTTGAGAGATGATTGACAGCTCAGTCAGACGATAGTGAGAGGTGTATCTGTGGCCGATAAAAAAAACAGCTAAGAGCGCGACTTCAGAGCTAGGATCCGGAGGGTTCACGGTGGTCAAATCTGGGCTGCAAAGTTCCCACCTCTTCTAGAACCCGAACTGCGTTCGATCGCGTGTTCGATCTGGGTAATTCGAACAGAACGCGTGTTCGATCTAGGTAATTCGAACAGAACGCGGGTTCCATTTGGGAAATTCGAACAGAACGCTCGTTCCATTTGGGGAGGGGGGGGTACTCTCCAAGAAGAGGTTGGTTGGGACGATTGTGGCCTTTCTATTAGTATGCCCCTTTTTTCTTCTGAATAAAAAACAAAGTGGGAGTAGCGACAGAAAAAAGGGCATATAAGAAAGGTCACAATGTCCCCCACCAACCTCTGCTTGGAGAGTAGTGGGAGGGGGGCATCTCAGGTTAATTCTCCCCTGCGTAGCTGTTTGTTAAACTGACTTACGTCAGTTGTAGGCTTCTCAACCCACACTGAGCGCTCTTGGTGGTGAAAAGGTTTGCTTCACTCCCACTTTTTGCCTCCTGGAGACACGAAAAACATCCACTCACTCACACCTACGCGTGTAAAGGCTTTAGACTGAATATAAGTGAACACCGATGAAACTTAAACATCCAGGTAATGAGATACACAACCAGATAAACAGACAAGCAACTGGAGAAATTTTAAGAAAACGATCGGAAACATTTGACAGTTTTCAAAATCTATCCTGTTGCTTGTGTTTACATCAATATTGTACTAAAAGTTGTCCTATATCAAATTATATTTTTGTATGAAAAAAGGGGAAAAAATAAACTCTTGTTGTTTGAGTTATAGAGCTATGACGTCTGTAACAGCCTTCCGTGTCAAAAATACGCCAAAAATACCAGCCACACAATACCAAGTGTTTACACAAAATGAGCAAACCGTACGATATAAGCGCA